GGGTTAGGTTGTGTATCTGAGACCTTTCTTGTTTCTTGAGAAAGGCTTGTACCGCTATATATTTTCCTCTCAGGACTGCCTTTGTTGTGTCCCACAGATTTGGAACCATTGTGTTTTCATTATCATTTGTTTCCATGAATTTTTTCAACTCTTCTTTAATTTCCTGGTTGACCCATTCATTCTTTAGAAGGATGCTGTTTAGTCTCCATGTATCTGGGTTCTTTCCAAATTTCCTCGTGTGATTGAGTTCTAGCTTCAGAGCATTGTGGTCTGAAAATATGCAGGGAATGATTCCAATCTTTTGGTAACGGTTGAGACCTGATTTAGGACCGAGAATGTGATCTATTCTGGAGAATGTTCCATGTGCACTAGAGAAGAATGTGTATTCTGTTGCTTTGGGATGAAATGTTCTGAATATATCTCTGATGTCCATCTGGTCCAGTGTGTCATTTAAGGCCTTTATTTCCTTGTTGATCTTTTGCTTGGATGATCTGTCCATTTCAGTGAGGGGAGTGTTAAAGTCCCCTACGATTATTGTATTATTGTCGATGTGTTTCTTTGATTTTGTTATTAATTGGTTTATATAGTTGGCTGCTCCCATGTTAGGGGCATAGATATTTAAAATTGTTAGATCTTCTTGTTGGACAGTTCCTTTGAGTATGATATAGTGTCTTTCCTCATCTCTTATTATAGTCTTTGGCTTAAAATCTAATTGATCTGATATAAGGATTGCCACTCCTGCTTTTTCTGATGTCCATTAGCATGGTAAATTCTTTTCCACCCCCTCACCTTAAATCTGGAGGTGTCTTCAGGTTTAAGATGAGTTTCTTGTAGGCAACATATAGATGGGTTTTGTTATTTTATCCATTCTGATACCCTGTGTCTTTTGATTGGGGCATTTAGCCCATTCACATTCAGGGTAACTATTGAGAGATATGAATTTAGTGCCATTGTATTGCCTGTAAGGTGACTGTTATTGTATATTGTTTCTGTTCCTTTCTGATCTACTACTTTTAGGGTCTCTCTTTGCTTAGAGGACCCCTTTCAATATTTCCTGTAGAGCTGGTTTGGTGTTTGCAAATTCTTTCAGTTTTTGTTTGTCCTGGAAGCTTTGAATCTCTCCTTCTATTTTCAATGAGAGCCTAGCTGGATATAGTATTCTTGGCTGCATGTTTTTCTCGTTTAGTGCTCTGAATATATCATGCCAGCTCTTTCTGGCCTGCCAGGTCTCTGTGGATAAGTCTGCTGCCAATCTAATATTTTTACCATTGTATGTTACAGACTTCTTTTCCTGGGCTGCTTTCAGGATCTTCTCTTTGTCACTAAGACTTGTAAATTTTACTATTAGGTGACGGGGTGTGGACCTATTCTTATTGATTTTGAGGGGGGTCTCTGAACCTCCTGGATTTTGATGCTTGTTCCCTTTGCCATATTGGGGAAATTCTCTCCAATAATTGTCTCCAATATACCTTCTGCTCCCCTCTCTGTTTCCTCTTCTTCTGGAATCCCAATTATTCTAATGTTGTTTCGTCTTATGGTGTCACTTATCTCTCGAATTCTCCCCTCGTGCTCCCGTAGCTGTTTGTCCCTCTTTTGCTCAGCTTCTTTATTCTCTGTCATTTGGTCTTCTATATCACTAATTCTTTCTTCTGCCTCATTTATCCTAGCAGTGAGAGCCTCCATTTTTGATTGCACCTCATTAATAGCTTTTTTGATTTCAACTTGGTTAGATTTTAGTTCTTTTATTTCTCCAGAAAGGGCTTTTATCTCTCCGGAGAGGGTTTCTCTAATATCTTCCATGCCTTTTTCGAGCCCGGCTAGAACCTTGAGAATCGTCCTTCTGAACTCTAGATCTGACATATTACCAATGTCTGTATTGATTAGGTCCCTAGCCTTTGGTACTGGCTCTTGTTCTTTTTTTTGTGGTGAATTTTTCTGCCTTGTCATTTTGTCCAGATAAGAGTATGAAGGAGCAAGTGAAATACTAAAAGGGTGGCAACAACCCCAGGAAAATATGCTTTAGCCAAATCAGAAGAGATCCCAAATCGTGAGGGGGGAGAAAGGGGATAAAAAGAGTTTCAGAAAGAAGAAAAAAAAAAAAGAAAGAAAGAAAAAAAAAGAAAGAAACAATTAAAAAAAGAAAACCAATAAAGAAAAAATATAAAAAGGGAAAAAAGAATATATATATTAGATAAACTAGTTAAAAAACTTTAAAAAAGGAAAGGTAAAAGTTAAAAAATTTTAGCAGAAGAAGAAAAATAAATTGAAAAAGAAAAAAAAATTAAATTAACTGCAAGGCTAAAGAATCATGGGGAGAAAGCCATGAGTTCCGTGCTTTGCTTTCTCCTCCTTTGGAATTCCGCTGCTCTCCTTGGTATTGAAACTGCACTCCTTGGTAGGTGAACTTGGTCCTGGCTGGGCTTCTTGTTGATCTTCTGGGGGAGGGGCCTGTTGTAGTGATTCTCAAGTGTCTTTGCCCCAGGCGGAGTTGCACCACCCTTACCAGGGGCCGGGCTGAGTAATCCGCTCGGGTTTGCTTTCAGGAGCTTTTGTTCCCTGAGCGCTTTCCGTAGTGTTCCGGAGGGCGGGAATGAAGATGGCGCCCTCCCGGTCTCTGGCCCGGAGGAGCCGAGAGCCCGGGGCCCCACTCCTCAGTGCGCCCTCAGAGAACAGCGCCGATTTACTCCCGTCACCCTGCCTCCGGCCGCGCTCCGAGCTGACCAAGCCTGCGACCCGTTCAAGGTAACCCCGAGCTTAGAGCTTACTCCTAGGCTCTGTCTCTGTAGCCGGCTTCCCTGTTCTAATACCTGTAAGCTCTGCAACACTCAGACACCCCCAATCCTTCTGTGACCCTGTGGGACCTGAGGCCACGCTGACCCTGCGTGGGCTTCACCCCGGTTAAGCCTCTGGAGCGATGTCCCTCAGCGGAACAGACTTTTAAAAGTCCCGATTTTGTGCTCTGTTGCTCCGCCGCTTGCCGGGAGCTGGCCCCTCCCGCCGCGGTCTATCTTCCCGTCGCTTTGGATTCACTTCTCCGCCAGTCCTACCTTTCAGAAAGTGGTTGATTTTCTGTTTCTAGAGTTGCTGTTCTTCTTCTCTTCGATCTCCCGTTGGATTTGTAGGTGTTTGCAATCTTTAGATAAGCTATCTAGCTGATCTCCCGCTACCTGAAGTAGTCTCAGCCTGCTACTTCTCTGCCATCTTGACTCCTCCCCCTTATAGAATACTCTTGATCTGAGTATTGGTTATACATTTGTTTATTTTATATTAATTCATCTAACTGAACATTTGTATTTTTTGCCCTTTTGTGTAGGTCTATTTAATTAGAACATGTATTAAAGACATATATAAAAATCAATCTTATAAATGCCAGGAAATGACCCACCCATACATAGAAAGTTAGTAAATAATTATTAGCTATCTCATCTCCCTCTATACACAAAATTTAAGGTGTATTAAAAGCTTAAGCATGAAATTAAACAGAAATTATAAGACTTATACACTTGGTCAACAAAAAAACAAAATAAAAATATATTCATGAGAAGACATTGTAATATATTTAATCCTCAATATATTGCTGTACAAATATATAGGTAAATCTTTCAGGTCATAATAAAATGTTCAAGGGACTAGTTGAAAACTGAGCAAATTATTTGAAAGTATAAGCAAAGCTTTTAAATCAGGTAGTATCTCTGGGTAGAGCAAAAAATAACTCTTATCATATGTTGATAAAAGTAGCAACTAAATATTTTGGAAACTTTTGTCTTACTAACAAATTTAAACACTTATCCAGTCCACTCATAAATGTATGCTCCAGAGAAATTCTTGCAATTGTTTGCCTTGGATAAATATTAAAAATGTAGCAACTTTGTTTATAATTACACATAGAAAGAACCCAAATGTCCATTAACAGTTAAATGGATAATTAAATTAACATCTCTTTATATAATTGAACAATGTATAACAGAAAAAAAGAATAAACTGCTGTTATATATGTCATTTGTAAAAGAGATTATTATGTGAGAAATGGATATAAAAATTCTAAACAATACTTTTAATACTTTTAAAATACTTCTGCTATTGAGAAAGAGGCAGAGCTGTAGTTGAAAGGAAATATTGGAACAAACAGGTTTCACTGTTTTTGTTCTTATTTGTAATAGGAGCTGCTCTATAATGTTTGGTGTTAGAAGTGATCTAGTAGAAAGGGGAATAGGAAAGAAAGTTATTATTTCAGTAGTGAAGGTGTTACGGAACCTGGACTGGATCCTGGCCAAAGAACCAAGAGGCACTCGGAGACCTTGCTGGAGGGCTCAAAGGAGAGTAATCTTCCAAGGTCCGATCCCCAAGCACAAACAAAGCGGATAGTTTATACACTTTTACTTCTGTATCTGTGGCACTCTTGTGCCCATAGCATAGGACACACAGCACATAGTGACATGCATTTAGGAGTAGACGGGACTGGGATTCCCCTGCTGGATTGGTCAGCCACCTTAGAACACAGATTTCCTTTATCATTCCCTGCTTTTATGCCCTTTTAAATACCTATTTTAGAGGGTATCATCTTTATTTTTTAAGGGGTGATAGTGAGTAAGGAGCAACTGGAGTCTAATCTTGACAATTTGAGCATCGATAAACCTAGTAAGGGCTTTAAGAATTCAAAGAGAGAACCGATGAAGGGATGAACCAAGGGAACCATTGTGAGAGGGAATCCCACCAAGTCACCCGCTGGAGTGCCTCCTATCAGGGATTTACTTGTTCCTGTAATTGGGTCAGAGTTTCTTGGATCACCCCTGACTTACTAGCATAGAAACAACATTCCTCCTGCAAGAAGAGGCAGAGTCCCCCTTGTGCAGCCATAAGCAAGTTGAGCCAGTGCCTGTTTTAAAGGACCACTGAGGCCCACGAATTCAGTTGATGCTGCAGGGCTGGAGGTGCCTGAGTGAAGGCAGAAAAATCCACCATGAGTTGTTGAGTTAGCCCCCTGTGACATCCTGACACAGGTGGTGCTGCAGGCAACTCCTGACATGGCCAGCAGGCTTATGAGAAGAGAAATGGTCGTGGGGGAGCATCAGGGGTGGTTAGGAGGTCTCCATATAAGTGGAGCATCACTCCCGGGGTGGACCGAAAGATCAGGTAAGAGACTGACAAGCATGCATGATTGATTGTGCAGGGTGTTTGCCCCCACTGAGGTCAGGCAAGCTAAAGGCGGTGAGGAGGAACAACATACCAGGTAGCAGAAGACTGGGACTGACTGGGGTCAGGAAAACCATAGTGAAATGCATTTAGGAGTAGACAGCAGAGGGCTAATAAAAGTGGGTTCCACAACCTTAGTTAGAGGGAGCCATCATGCCTAGCCTGATAGCAGATAAAACCTGTGGACAAGTAGGTGCAGTAATACACCCTAGGGTTACTCAATAAACAACAATGACAAGTCTCTGGGGGAAAGTCCAGTCAGAAGGGCAACAGTGTAAAGTCTGACCCCTAGAATGAAGGATATCACGCTGATGAGAGCTAGGGACCATGGCAAGCAGATGTCTATCAGTTGGTGGTGTTGCATCAAAAGCAAAGCCAGAGCAGGTTTGTGGGGTTTGGCTGGACTTTCCATTGGCGTGGCTCCTTGTCCGGTAATGGGCTCTTTTACTTTGGAGTGGTGGACCCATGGAGTGACATCAGAGACCTTAAGGGCAGTAGGGCTGGTTAGAACAACAGTGTGAGGCCCTGTCCACTGTGGTTTGAGGGGGTCCCTTTTTAAAATTTTTGATCCAGAATGAGTCTCCTGCCTGGAAGGAGTATACCTGAGGCCCTCTCAATGGTGTACCTTTGTAATTTATTTAAGGTGGCCCCCAGGGCCTGAACTTATTTTTTTATTTCTTTATCCCCAATCTGATCTAAGTTTTCTGGAAGGCTCCCCAGGCATGAGGGAGGCTGTCCATATACTATTTCGAAAGGTGAGTAACCTAGCATCCTGGGTGTGCAATGGGCACATAGGAGGGCCAGGGGTAGCAGATCTGGCCATGAAAGGTTAGTCTTCTGACGAAACTTTTCTAAGGTTTCCTTGGGGTTGCGATTTATTCACTCTACTTTCCCTGAGCTTTGGGGCCGGTGGGCAGTGTGGAGTCTCCAGGTGATGTTGAGAGACTTGGTCAAGACCTGTACAAATTCGGCTACAAATGCGGGCCCACTGTCACTACAGATTGTTAATGGCAGGCTGAACCAGGGCATGGTCACCCACAAGAGGACTTTAGCTACATCCCGGCTTTGCTCCATTCTGGTCGGGAAGTCTTGACCCATTCATAAAATATGCACATTTTCACTAGGAGATATCTGAATGCCCTGCTTGGCTGCATGTGTGTGAAGTCTATTTCTGATCTTCAAAAGGGATTACTCCCATCCTATGGACACCTAGTGGGGGCCATTGTGCAGGCCGAGCATTATTTTTAGCACATGTTATCCATTGCTCACTAGTTGCTTGGCACAGTGCTGTAGCTGGCTAATGTAGTAGTGCTTCTTGAGGAGGGTCTCTAATGCAGTTTTTTCCAGGTGGGTGAGTTGGTGGTATTCCTTTACTAGATGCCCTTCTGTTGCTGTTAGGATGAAGACACACCCATCTGATATCACCCATCGTCTCTTTTCAGTCAGGGTGGCCCCCTCAGCCCTGGCCCATTTTCTTTCCTTTTTAGTGTAACTGGCTGGAGGGACTTTTTCTGGGGGTGTCAGGGCCATGCTGAGGGAAAGGGCTTTGTCCATGTCCTTATTGGCTGCAGTCTTGGCAACCCCATCTGCCAGATGATTTCCCTGCGCTATGGGTCTTCTTTTTGGTGTCCCTTATAGTTCAGGATTGCTACTTCTCTTGGAAGCCAAATGGCTTCGAGGAGTTTTAGTATCTCTTTCTTGTTTTTGATAGCTTTTTCTGTGGCAGTAAGGGAGCCCTTTGTAAATGGCCCCATGCACAGTAGCAAAGGCATACAGAGAGTCAGTGTAGATATTTACTCTCTTGCCTTCACTGAGGATGAGGGCTCAGACTAAGGCATACAGTTTAGCCCATTGCACTGACCATCCAGCTGGTAATGCCTTAGCTTCCAGGACTTCAATGGTTGTGGTCACTGCATAACCCCCTTTCTAGGCACCCTCTTATAGGTAACTGCTGCTGTCGCTGAACAGTGTGAGCTCTGGATTTTTTATGGCTTGATCTTGTAGATTTGGACAGCTCACGTAGACTTCATCAGTTACTTTGGTGCAGTCATGGTCTGGTTCCCCTTCCTTCATGAGGATGAAGGGTTGCTGGGTTTAACGTCCTTACTGTCTCGAGGGTGACCCACAGATTTTCACAGAGGAGTCCTTGGTATTGTGCTAGCCGAGAGTTGGAAAGGAAATGGTGTCCCTGTGTGTTCAGGGGGTCGCAACTGCATGAGGGAACTTGTTAAGTTCTTGTCCCAGGGTGAGCTTGTCTGCCTCCTTAATGAGTAGGACTGTGGCTGCTAGTGTCCTGAGGCACAGTGCCCATCCTGCTGCCACAGGGTCCAGCTTCTTTGACAGATATGCAACTGGCCATTGCCAGGGCCTGACAGCCTGGGTGAGTACCCTGAGTGCTATCTTTTTTTTTCATGTACAAAGAGATTGAAGGGTTTTTCTATATTTGGTAGCCCCAGGGCTGGAGCCCACCCCAGGGCAGCCTTTATCTCTGTGAAGGCAGCTTTTGCTTCCTCAAACCAGGCAGGGGGTTCTCGATTTGGTCCCCCTAAGAGATCATAGAGGGGTCTTGCTATTGTCAAGAACCCAGGAATCCAGATGTGGCAGAATCCTGCAGCCCCCAGGAATTCTTGTAGGCCCCTTTTTGTTTGGGGCTATGTCAAGTAGATGATGACTTTCTATCCAGCCCTAGTTCTCTCTTTTCTTGGGTGAGGAGGAGACCAAGGTAACGGACCTGTTGTTGGCAGATTTGTGCCTTCTTCCATGAGACTCAATATCCCAAGTCTGACAGGAGCTATAGGAGGGCCTTTGTGCATTTTGTGAAGTCTTCTTATGTGTCACTGGCAAGGAGGAGGTCATCTACATACTGGAGGAGAGTGCATCATGCAGCCTTTCTTGGGAAGCTGGCAAGTCCTATAACCAGCGTTTTCCTGAAGAGGGTTGGTGAATTTTTAAACCACTGCGGGAGGCATGTCCAGGTCAGTTGCATCTGGTGCCTGTATCAGGTTTAGTCCATTCAAAGGCAAACAGTGGCTGGCTCTGGGGAGCTTAACGGAGGCAGAAGGCATCCTTTAAATCTAGGCAAGTGAACCATCTGGCTGACCCTGGGATTTGGCCTAGGAGGGTGTACGGATTTGGGACCACTGGGTGCAGGGAGATGGCTCTCTTGTTGATGGCCTGCAGGTCTTGGACTGGTTTGATATTGCCTTCCTGGCTTCTTAACTGGCAGGAGTGGGGTATTCCAGGCTGACTGGTACTCGATTAGGATACCTGCTTCTTTAATTCTGGATAGATGTTCTTCAATGCCAATCTTAGTTTCTCCCCCTTGTGGGAGGGGTTATTGCCTTTGCCTCTGGGGTTGGGCTCCAGGGATCAGTTTAACAATAATAGGGCCCCGATTCTGGGCAAGTCCAGGTGAGCTATCTTCAGCCCATACTGAAGGGAAGGTGAGCCTGAACTCCACTGGGCCATTCGACTGGGCCTGAGCACAGAATAGCCTTCATATTTCTTCGCTTGGTGTGGTAATTGTTACTACCAAAGACCCAGTCTCCTCTTGCCCTGGGTTCAGTCGGAGGCTGGTGTGCCCAGTGGGCTCAAAGGTTATCTGAGCCCCAAGTTTGGAGAGTATGTCTTGGCCCAGGAGGGGGATGGGGCAATGAGGTAGATAAAGGAATTTATGTCGGACCTTGGGGCCCCTGAGTTCATACTGATGAGCCTGGCAAAATGGCTATTATATTATCCATGTCCTGGTATCCCCAAGGATAGTCGCAGTCCTCTTGCTGAAAGGGGTCACTGGGGAGATGACAACAGAGTGCTTAGCACCAGTATTAACCATAAAAGTCGCCGGTTGGCGCCCCATTTTTATTTTGACCATGGGCTCATGGGGCCAAGGAGAAGAGCCTGGTCCCCCTTAGTCTGAGTCTATTTCTGCAAGGCCTATGAGGTCCCCTTCTGGGGGTTCTTCCTCATAGTGGTTGGGTTTTTGAGCCTTTCCCCTGGTGGGACATACATTCTTTTAATGCCCCTTTTCTTTACAGTAGACATATTTGGTCCCTGGCCAAGGGTGTTCTGGGTTTTCTGCCTTTCAGTGGTTGGGGCCACTCCACCTTATAGATCTGCCAAGAGGGCCACTCTGAAAACCCTTTTCCAGAATGAACAGGTGGGCTCATGTGTCTAGTTGAGAGGGTCAGTGGTGGAGAAAGGTTAATAATACATCATGGAATGGCTGGGTTGAACTGTAATGTCTTTATTGTGCCTTTTGGGTTCTTGCTTTTCTTGTACCAGCATTTGGAGTGTGCTTGCCTGGCCTGGGGCACAGCCTGGCTGCTGGTCCCGGAGGAAGTTGATCCTCTAGGCCTGGAGCACTGGGAAGACTGATGGCAGTGGAGTGTCTGGAACTAGAGGGGGTCGGGTGTATATGGCCTTGGGGGTGTGTACAGAGGGGGCAGGATCAGTTTATCCTTGGGCTCTTTGGCTAGGATCTGTGGAGGCTGGGGCTTCTGTCAGTCTTTTGGGGCCATTTGGATGAGGCAATTAAGACCCTGGCCTGTCCTTGCCTATTGCAAGCAAATTATACCCAAGGGGGGAGGGTCTGGTCTCCTAGCCAGGAGTTAATGTACGGAAACTGGTCGGGGTGTCCTGGTTCCCCTATTACAACTTGCCACACCTGACGAACTATTGGGACAACCAACGTCCCTTCTGAAGACCATCCGATATTAAACGTGGTCCATTCTAACTCACATAGGGTTCTCAGTTTGCCGGGATACATCTTAACTCCATAGTCTTCTGAAAACCCCTTCCTGAAATTTTTGATCATTGTGTCAAGAACTGTAGGTTTACTCTGCCCTGATCCCATAGTGATGTTCCTGTGTGTGGTTGTGTAGAGACAGATAAAGGGTGGGTGCAGCTCCAAAGGGAAGACCAATCACATGCCCACCTTTCTGCCTTCCCAGAAGAGACTTGGGTGCCTCTT